CAAGAATTTCTCCATGTTTTAATAGCATTTATCTTAAGCATTTTTCCAATACAATCATTTGATGTTTAATATAATTGGATTAAATCTGAAAAAATATTATCAATGCTAATTAACATATCTCTTAGAATAATTTTCAATTGTTTATTAGTTCATCTTAAATAAATGAGCATGAAATCTAATAAATGGACCATGCTATCTAATACATCGACCATGCTATTTATCATTCGTAAGTTAGAATAGTACAACTTATTTTAAATCTTACTATAAAACATGGCTCATAATGTAAAATCCTCTAAATAACAAGTAATAAAGTTCCCCTTATTAATCCACAATTAATTAAAACCCGAGATAATCATTGGATTAATCCAATTAGATGGCCAAGTTTGTAATTTATAAAAATGAGATTTCAAGTTTTTCATAATTCAAATGACTTAAATATCATTTAACAACCCTTTAATCAGAATGAAGTATTTTTTTAGAAGTATGGGATACTTTATGGGAGTAAAAATGCCTAAAATCAACTAAAAAAATTTAAGAAAGAAAAAATAGGGTAATGCACCGCCGCTCTCCTTCTCTGTGCCACACGCCGCGGCATATTGCATGTTATCATATAGCTTTTTGCTATCAAATGACAGCAACTAAGGGCAAATTTTGATGCACCCCAATTCTTCATTCGTTGTTCGAATAAGGTAATCTAAGTATCTATAAAAAACTCTTTTTATAGTCTAGCTAATGGCACTAGTTACTTCTAAATTACATCACATGAAAAAGATTAACACACTTTTCACAACTCAAAGGTGTTCAAGACCCCCCACAAGTGTCAAAAGCTATATCTAACACTTAAAACACACTCAGTAGATTCAGGACTACCTGTACAACACATTATATGCATATAATCTCAACAATACCTAATTTTCACTCCTCAACCCCTTAATACCAAAACAAAAAGGGGATGTTTTAGCATTACATTATACAACTATGTTATGATCGAATCAATACTCCTACACTTGTACTAGTATTTTAGCCCCATTAATGCTTAATCAAACTTACATACTTATTTCAGGGCCCAAAATACATTCCAAATCATAAACAATAGTAAAATGCAAGTGTATACAAAATGCATCCTAATTAGTAACATGCTATCTATTACACAAAATAAATGTGGTTAGGAAGTTTTATAGTAGGAATACACAAATTCCTATGCCTCCGTAGTTTTTCCTTTATCCACATCGAAGCTAGAACCTGTAAAATACTAAAAGAAAAGGATGAGTACAACCACTCATTAACCAATGTACATCTATCCCATACAGTCGAATATCAATTGACAAAAATATTTAGATAAGAGTTGGATATTCAAAAGCTTATGTTCACACATATCACAAGTATATTACAATACACCATTAACTTTTTATCAAATTTTTTTACATAATCACACTATAAGACACGTTGTCATAATGAGACAACCATGTGACAATGGTCCATTCAATAATAATAATGCACCTTGCCACAACACAAATAACCTTACGACAATGGTACAATCAACTATTAAGATTTACTACAAATTTAACAATCACGTGACACATTGGATAAATATATGCATGATCAATTCCTTCTCATACGCTTCTCATTTTCTCTGACTAAAATCGTAGGTTATAATATCAATCAAGGCTCCATTCGTATGACTAGACTACTCAAGCTCATCAATTGTGAAGTGTGACTCGACAAAAGATCACAACAATCAATCTCGAACCTCAGCTTCCCTCACTCTCAAAATTTAGGGTGTTGTATATCTTAAGCCAATTTCTTCGATAAACAGGTGGAGATAGCTAGGTTCTAGTCACTTGATAAATTATGGGACAATCTCTTGATAAATAGTAGGACAAGGCTAGCCTTCGTGTATTGAAGGGCAGCTATAAATACCATATAGATTTAATCTGCTCTTCTCCCTAGGCAAACTCCTACCAACCAATCATGTAATGTCTAATGCTCATACGCACATTTACACATACTTGAAATTTATAATTAATAAGCTTATGGTTTTCATTCACATTATCAATTGAAACATGTGAGCAGCGTAACCATTTTCATAATTACTCCATCTTTCAAAACTCACCCATAGACACATATTCTTCACCTTACTCAATCATCACATTCACACATTTATCAAAGTAACTTGTCAAACTACTCATTTCTACACATACTTGTAATATACACTTATTTCAAGTTTCAACTCCACAATTATAGCTAAATTAAGGTTAGTGATAACCTTGCACAATTATAGCATGTGTTTTATAACTACAATTTTAATCATTCATGTAAATGATTCCATTTTTAAATTTATATTTCAATTAACGTATAACTACACAAACATAGATTTTCCTCAATTATTTCAAACCTTTAAAAGGTCAAATATTTATCCCTCACTATATGCTTTTGAGCTTGCTCTTCATGCCCAAAATAGTGCCCGGATGATTAATGTACTATTAATCAAGTCTAAATTCAAAAAAAATTGCCAAATATACACTTTTAACACTAATTTTTCATTTCTAAAATACCTAAAGCCTTTGTTTCTTATATTTAGGTTTACCCATTGGGTGTACTAGCTTTCTCTAACTCATAATAGCTTCATCAAATACTCAGCTCATCATTAATGGCTTTCAACTACCTTAAATCCCACATTTATGGCTAAATTTTTAGACATTTATGGCCAACCTTTGCCATAAATGCATAAAACTCTCCATTAATAGTTTCAACAACTCAAATAGGAAAGGCTTACCTTAGTAATTGGGAGCTTAGAACCTTCTCAAATTCTTTTCAAAATTGTGCCTTAGTAGAGCTCTCCCAATGTCCTTTGTTTACTTTTTCCTTTTCTTTCGATTTTCAAGTTTGCACCCAAAGTATTTTTGCAAAGTTTTGGTTGTATGTTGCGGTGGATGGATGACACAAAGAGGAGCTTCTTCTTGTTGTTATGTAATGTACTTGGCTCATATAGCATGTGCTATGGCGCATGGTACAACAAGAGGATTCTTAAATTTTTCTCTCTCTTTAAAGCCTAGGCAACTCAATTTCACCTTGAACTTGATCCTCAAGCTGCAACCACACACCAACAATACTCTTTAGCTGTCCTTTAACTCTATTTTACTTAATTAAACTTAATTACTTTATTAATAAACTAAGGATTAAATTCAACATGTTACACATAATATAAATAAATGGGCGTATGAGAGAGCTTTAAATATGCATAATTATTTTTATAACATTATCAAGTTTTATGGACATTATCAACAAATTAAAAAAATGTCGATTGTTACAATAAAAACAAGTATTGTGGATTGGTTGACTTTTACTTAGTACATATATTCTATCTGGTCTTATATTAAAATCATTTTTAATATAGAACTAAAGCAGGTAGTAAATAAGCTATAAGATTATTATGGCAAATAATAAAGGAGAGTCGTACTTAAGGCCTACAAAAGCAACAAAATTGCAATTAAAGCCTAATAGAATCTGAAATTACTTTGAGGGCCCAAAACCCTCATTTGCAATCATGCTTTTAGGTGAAATGACCCCTTTACCCCTCACAAAATTTACCAATGTTCATGATAGACTCTTTAATCTCTTCTTCTTCCTTCTTCCACCTTTTCACTCTTCCTTTTCTCCCTTTAGCCATAATCGACGTCTTTAAAGTTTGGGATGTGGTGCATTCACCATATCCTTGAGCTTTCACCATATCTATAGGATTGCAGAAGTTGGGTTTGGAAAAGTTGATCGTCAAAATCTTTTATAAACATCGAAGGACCACATACTTATAGCAGATATAGTTTATATGATTAGATTAAATAAGTTCCTTTACATTAGGTGTCGTTTCCATCCCCTCGCAATTCTCTTTCAGGTTTGGGTTAAAGAAAACAAAATTTAAAAAGTTCAAATGGAATGAAGAAATCTTATATCATGTTAAATACATTGATTCATGCTGAATCTACAATATATGTTCTGCACATGGTAAATTATTTTTACTTAAATTTGCCTTGGTTCCCATGATGGACTTTGTGTTGCGAAAACTTTAATGTATATATAATATAGGCCTTCAATTGTATTATATATATATATATATATATATAAAATGGTTAATTGTTCTCTAAACTTTGTATTTTTGATTTGGTTGCTGAAATAACCTGACTTGATTGTTGATATAATTTGACTTGTTTGATAGACTCTGATGTGGTAGTCATTCTCCTTTGTTAAGTTGTTATTTTTTTTTTGCCAAGTTATTATATCTTATTTTTAATTGTTATCTACTTAAATTCAAGCTGCCATGTCCTAACCTGACACCTAAGTGGTTATTCTTTTGTTGTCAAGTTGTCATTTTTATATGTTCGAATTATCTTTTACATGAATTATATTTGTTATTTTCTCATACTTGAGTTGTCATTTTCTTCTATCAAGTTATTATTTTCCTCTACTTAAGTTGACACCAGTTATTATATATATGTATATATAATATTTTACATTATTATATCAACAAATATAATGTAATTGGCCCAATGGTTATTGAGCATTTTGAAAACCTTGTGATCTGGGGTTTTAATCCTCCTAAGATCACCATTTAAAAATATAAGGGTATTTTGTAATTGCATAGGAATTTGAACTTGGTACAACATATTTCATCAATATCAAGAAAAGTTTTAATTCTGTTTTAAAATTTAATAAGTTTTTAATTTTATTTTTATTAAATATGTATACTTCAATAATATATTCTCTTTATTCAATATTAAATAAAAAATAAAATAAAAATTTAATACATGATTTATAAATATAATTAAAATTTTTTCCTTCTTCCTGTCTTATAAATAGTAAGATCAGAGGAGTACATTTTATAAGATTCGGGGGCAATTGAATTAATTGGCCGGTACTTTGCGGTAATTCTCCCTTTGACTTTTCCATTTAACTGGAGGTGGCTAAATTGCATCGTCAAGTATGCATAGCGGATAGCGCTATGCCGCACGTCACGAGTCACCTAGGTTTATACTTTATAACGTTAACTTCTCATTCCGTCCTCCACGCCGCCAACTCCAACCATGGCTCACTTCTCACTTTCTCAGTTCTCACTCACTCCCCGCCCCTCGCCCGGGTACTCCTCTCCTTCTTCCTCGCTCTGCTTTCTTTCTAAATCTTCGCATTACTCAATACGCGTGCACCTAACAATTCCCGCTGCACCAGTTTTTTAAACTGAAGCCAATTCTTTTTCTCTCTTTTCTGTTTCTTCAGTATCACACTGGCCCAAAAAAAAAAAATTTTTTTTCTATGTCTCTATTTCACCCTGCGTTGTTGCCTTCTTCTAATTTCGTCTTCATTCACTCAAATTTGCTGTTTCACGTCTCTCAACCGTGTAACTTCATGTAGTCATGTCCAATCTATGTTGCTTTTAACTCACTAAATTTGAATTTGTCCTTTTCTTTTGTTTTGCCTCTAAATATGTTTGGCGATGCTATTGCTAGCTGTCTGAGGCTTTCATTATTGGCATGTAATAGTCAATCTATGATTAATTACATGTACTGGCAAAGTTTTTAATGTGTTATATTTATGATCACATGACACTTCATTGTCCTGACTTAACGAGGATAGTTTCTCTCCGCTAACGTATTTTTTCTCCTAATATTTTCCCCATTCCATCTTGCTTGCAAATGACAATTTTGATATTGCCGTAATTCTTAGCTTCTAATTGTTTTGACACAACCTGGCTTGGCTTTGCGTTTTGATGTTGCCATAATTCTTAATTCCTGTCTATCTTACTATGAAACAGTTCAACATATTTTACTCCTTGCTCTCAAATCTGGTTCTTTTTTTTATTGTGATCGGTACATCCAAACGTTCGAATTGTAGTCGATAAATTTTCTCGTTCGATTGTCAGGAAAACGAAAGAAAAAAGAAATTCATATCTTGGCATAAGTTAATTGCTTCAGCTTACTTTGAACTATGTTCTTGAAGCCAATTGCTACAAGCTATTAACGAGATTGGTTGATTTTTATTCATGACCCTGAACATTCTGCATTTAATCAGCAATGTCTCGTAGATGTTACCGGGAAAACGGAGCTTAGTTTGTAAAAGACAATCTCATGGGCCCCGCTCGTCCAATTTCAGGCAAGGACAGAGAGTAAACCAAACTTTGCTTTGAAAGTTGCTGCACTAAAGGGCAAGGTGGAAGAGAAAGGTATGAGTAACACGAGTCACTCTCAAAAGCCTATTGTTAAGGTGGAGGCCTTTCTCGATGAACAGATTAAAAGTGCAAAGGTCCCTGAAGAGATGGAGGTTGATATAGTGAGCTGGACAAATAAAGTTGATTTTGCATCAAATAAAAATGATGACCCTGATGCCACTGAACACTCAAGTTCATTTGCCGACACTACGTCTGATCCTGAAACTAGTTCTAGATTGAGTGAAGCTGAAGTGGAGTCAGAGCTCTTAGGTGACAGCGGGTTGACATGCGCCTTTGATGCTTTTGGCTCATGTTTTCCAATGAGGTAATAAAGTGCCTTGATAGGTCATAGATTTAGCAATTGGCATATAATGTTGAAACAAAGAACCCAATTCACATGCATTTGCTGGCCACTGATTTAAGTTACTAATAAATCCATACCATGCACTCAGATGTTCAAATTAGAAGGTTGATGGGTATGATGGGTTATAGCAATTGAAAACTTGACATATTTACAATTGCAGCCTAAAAATATGTTAGATGGTACGGAATTTAAAGGAACATGCAGCTGTGGTTAGATGACACGCCAGTGTCTTGGCTTGAGAATAGGTTCAAATGCTATTTAGACGATGCATATACATTCATGTATGCCATAAAGTCATATACTTGTTTATTGGTTGCTTGTTAGTTTTAGTTGTTAATTGTAACCCCTGTTTGAAGAAGTTATGGCTTTGCAACTAGTAAATGTTGAATTTGTTGGCTAAAGTATTGTCATTACTTTTGTTCTATGTCATCATTTATGCCTTTACAGATGCCATTTTCTTCTGGCTCCATTTGCTTATCTTAAAGGGTATGCCTATCATTTTGGGAATTTATGGTGAATAGTAGGTTCACCTTTTTTTTTTGGTAACTTGATTCCACTATCACAAACATTTTATATTCTGTCCTGATGTATTTTGTATATGCAATTATTATTATCAGAGTTTTTTAATTTTTCATATTAACTTCCTGTGCAACCATAGGAAGAAGAAGCTGACGGATCATTGGAGGAGCTTTATACGACCTTTAATGTGGCGCTGTAAATGGACAGAGCTAAGAATTAAAGAAATGGAGTCACAGGCATTAAAATACAGCAAAGAGCTTGTTGAATTCAATCACAGGAAATGTAAGGCACCTGATCAATTAACATTAGAAGAAATTGGTTCAAAATCGCTACCGTTTACAAGGCCCTTGAGCAGAAGTAAGGCCAAAAAGAGAAGAAAAAGAAAACAAATTGAAGACACAATTGATATAGGATCCTATATGTCACGTCATTATCTTTTCTCTTATCTTGGTATGAACTTCTTTGTACTCATCTTTTCTGATTTTCATGTCTTTCCTTTTTGGTAACTAACTACTTGTGCTCACTTCTGAAAAGTGCATGACGTTTTTTTCCTTATATACTGTAGAGAATAAGAAGTCTGACCCAGATGGTAGCTTGGCTGATGATTTTGGTAATCCAGGTTAGAAATACCGCTTCATTCTGATCCCTCTCTGCTGCACCACATGTTAAGTCTTCTTTTAACATTAATTTCTTTTTTAATTGGGAAAATAAAAAATAAACTGAAATGTTTGGTTTATAAGTCAGCTGCATTATGTTGGAAGATTGTACATGTTGACTTTCTTTTTCTTCCTTCTCTCTTTCTCTTTTGAGAGGAGGGTTCCCGAAAGAGAGAAATTTTCCAGATTATTCATCACTGCCAATCATGATCTGCCAAGTGACTTACATTATGAATTCTGCATTATCACATTTGACATGTATCTAAGGTAGATGACTAATTATCTTCCTATTCTCTGGGCAGTGATTGCAGACCCGCATACTGATTTGACTGACAGATTTAGGATTAATGATGATCAATCTTTCTTTGACTTTAGCGATGGTGATGGTTCCTTGGAGCAGCTCCTTTGGACAATTGAAAATGTACATTCTAGGGTCCACAAGCTGAAGACTCAAGTCGATTTAATCATGTCCAAAAATGCTTTGAAGTTTTCTTCATCAGAGAATTTGAGCCTTCTACTCCATGGTGATGTGCAGACCAGCTCTGCTCATAGTCCTGCATTCTCCGCTGGGAATGGAGACACGGTATCAGCAGGGGCTATTTGTAATTCAGCTCAGCATGCACCTGAGTTTGATTTTGGAGATTTGGTTATGCCTGATAGTGCTGTCTCGAGTTATGGAGAAGCCACAGCTATTCCTGATATAATTGAGAGCACAGTGGGATTATTGTCTGCTACAGATGTTAATGCTACTCTCCCACAGCCCCAGACCGTGGACTCATGTGAAGATGTAAGTTCTCAATCTATGGATAGCTGAAATTTAATTATTTTATGTCCGTTCCTGGTCAGATTACTCATCTTTCCTGATTTTCATGTCTTTTCTTTTTGGTAACCAACTACTTGCGCTCACTTCAGAAAAGTGCATGACATTTTTTCCTCACACACTGTAGAGAATAAAAGTCTGACCCAGAGGGTAGCTTGGCTGATGACTTCTGTTTTGATCTTTTGATGATCTTTTAATGTGTAAAAAAGTGTTATGTAATAATGACAATAAGCATCTTCATTTTATGGTAATCATGTTCATCAGCACGTAAAATCTCCAAGAATTAATGACTTTTAAGGTTTTTTTGGCCTTTTCTGTGTTTCCTTAGAGCAATCAAGATATTGGAATTAGAGTATGGCTGTGCTAAATGTTGCGTAGTTTTCTCATTGTAAATTTAGGCTAGATAGTTACGTGACGTTAGTGCAAATTACGTTGCATGGACATAAAATTGTTGTCAGCAATATATTGTGTGCTTATAATTTATTTTTTTTCCCTCTTATGTCTAGGTAATGACTCTTGATCTTGAAGCTAAGATCGAAGGTTTGCTATCGCATTTGAAAAGTTTCATTTTGACATTGTTGGTTGCAGATGGTAGACAATGTGTTGACACACAATGAAACAGCTGAAGCAGAGGAGCACGCCTTTAAAAGTGTAAATCACAATCCCACTGAGAAGCATCTGGAGGCAGGGAAAGGTGGTCATGAAAGTGCACACACGGCTTCTCTCCCAATGACGGAATCCAATATAGCAGTGAAGTCAGCTTTACCTCACTATCAGGAGCAATCGACGCTCAAATCTTGTTTGTATAAAGACGTACATTTTCCCAATATTAAAAGAAAACGTGGGGAGCGCAAAGCTGGATCTGGTGGTTGGAGCAAGAAGTGTTCAGGGGAACCTGATAGCCAATGAGTCATAAAAACTAGAATAGAGCCTAAATGTAATTCTACTTATCAAGGATCAGACTGGCTTTTCAATTGACTTGGTTTCCGCACTTGTCCTTGTAAACAAGAAGCTGTACAAGTGCGAGGCTTCCTGAAGCAGGCTCTATCCTGATGATACTCTTGCTTGTCAATCACAACAGAAAAGGAAACTAATCTAATTTACCGGCCACTTGTTCAGTCTACAGCCTGAATGCATTTGGCAAGGGCTGGAATTGCTTGTCGACGATTCACTAATCTAATACCCAGAAAATTGAGAAATGAAATAAAAAGTCACCGCTCCGAAAAGACAAAAAAAGTGATGTAAATGTATGGCATTATGCGGGCTGTCCTTGAGAGTGCGATGGGAATCAAAGATTGCACGTGTCAAGTCCATATTTGCTTGTGGATGTGTAATTTGACAAGCGCGCATCATCATCATCATCGTATCACTTTCTATGATAGTGGCAGATCTAGCTGTCAATGAATCTGTTCCCACAATATTCTCCGGAAGCTCGTCTTAACATTAATCAATGTTATGCTTCATTGAAAGACAGAAAACAAACTTTTGAAATTAGACTTTATAGCTGCGTGCTGTATATTTTGTGATGTAATTCCTCCCTTTTTAAATATAAATAATTTTAAAGAATTCATGTATTCATATAATTTAAAAAAGTTGGTTAATCTTAATAATTAGGTATGAAATTAAAAAATTTAGATTAAGATATCCTTATAATTAGTCTTTCATTTTTTTCTAATTTAACAATATTATTATTTAATAAATGATAAATAAGGAAAGATATTATAAATGCTTCTTGAAAATTGTTTTGTTTGCTTGTAAAAAACAAGAAATCATATGAAAGTTTTTGCTTATATTTAAAAATAGAGGGAGTATATATTATAAATTATTTCCAACTATCTTATCAAAATTAAGGAGCATGTAGTTAAATTATTATTTTGTTTGATTTTTTTTTAAATTTATCTTTATTGAATGTATCATTTTTAAAAACATGTTTTATCATATGCAACCATTTATTTTACTCACAGAAAATTGTGAAAAAATAGAATTGAAAAAATAATTAAATATTTTTCTTTTTATGTAAAATAACTAACAAAAAAGATTATTATTAATTTTGTTTTTGGAAGTGACTTATGCATAAAATGAGAAAAGTATTTACCGATCTCTCGTGTTCTCATGGCTCGCACAGATAACTGGTATTCGACCGCCATGAGGTCGCACACTCATTTTCGTCGAAGTCCTCCGATAGGTCGCTTTGCCTTAAATTCCGTGAAGTAAGCGAATTTGCAGCCGCCATGCCATTGTAGCAAGCACCATCTATTTCGTTATGCTTTGGAATGGAAGCTCTTCGTTCCTATCCAAAGTGACTAGAATAATTTCTATGGTCTACAATGTACAAAAAGCAAAAAGACGATGACTCTAAAAATATTCTTTTGACTGTCCCTGCCATCCATTTGGGGAAAAAAAGGATTGGTTTAGGGATGAGTGAAACCAATTAAGGATTTTAATTAATCATAACCCTGCTTGTGTCAGTACTTGAATAAGTCCTACTGGAAAAGCTTTAATCAAGTTTTTTATGCACGACAGAAAATTAATCCCACAAACTTCACGGGCAGCAACAAATGAGGAAAGAAAAACTGAGTTATCAACGAAGGCACCCTCAGCGATCAATATTAAACTGATATCATAAGAAACTACTGCATGTAAAAGGTTATAATCGCATATGAATGAAAGATAAACAATACCTTCATTTGGGATTTTTTTTTTGCCTTAAAAAAGAGAAAAGAAAAGGTCCACTTTTGGTTGTCTGAGACGGCCTGGGGTAATGATATGCAGAAAAAGGTGGTGGAGCTTGCAAAATAATTGCACAGCACGGGTTCATATTAATTGGAAGCGAATTAAATCATTCCTTGTGCACAAGAGCGTTGTTCAAATAGTGACATCCATGTGAAAGTAAGACACGATTTCTTTCTTTCCTTTTCTTTCTTTCTTTTGTTTTTTCTGAATAGGAACAGGAAAATTCATTCACGGAGGCACCGTACAAAGCAAAAACAAAACAGCAAGAAACAAGACCAGTTAATCTAAAGACACACAAAAACCACCCCAAAACTAGCTTAAAGTCATTTGACAGTGTATGAGCCAATTGAGACATACAGTCACGAATTTGTTAGTGTTGGCAAGCAGAGTTAAAACTTCAAAGAGCAGAGTGGTAGTTTGGGTGCTTATGCTATTTATATCATAAAGGCAGGCCGAGCATGTCTCAAGCCAATTAATGTCCTGTGTGACCTGCTCTTGCTGGCAATCATAGATATTTGGGCTAGCTCCTCATGCTTTTCCATGCTCCTGTAAGTAATGAATTCAATAAAGGCATGGGGCTTGGGGCACCCAGGTAATTACTTTAAAAGCAGTATGGTAGTGGCTTTTTTTTTTTTTTTTTTTCCACTTTGCCTTTGAAATTTCGAATCCCTGTCTTTCTCTCTCTAAATCAGAAGGAATCATGCGGCCAAAGCAAAAGAAGGAGGGTTACAATAAAGAATGGGGGCAAAAGAAAAGAAGTACATTGCCAAACCCACCTCAGGATCACAAGTTGGAGAAGAAGGCTCTTCGATTGTGCGTGAAACCCAGATGAAACTCCTTTCCTTTCTTTCTCCACCCTTCTCGTACTTGCATCTGTCTCTGTTCATGCAAGATCCCAAGAACCACGAATCTAACGCAAGGTATGCTCTGTCTCTATTTATCTTTCACGGAACAACCACGCATCCACATAAAATATTTTGGACACACATTGTTCGAAATGTAGGATCGCTGTGCCGTTTATTGTTTTTATATAAGCCGCGATTGTGATCATCACGAGAATATTTACAATCATTAAGTATCGATACCGAACATCAACAATTCAGCCTTGGAAAGGGACAGGGCTTACTTTGAGTGATTCAGAAACAATATAATTCCTCAGGCTCTCGTAAGTTCCCTTTCCTTGAACTAGGCTCATTGTTGTGGGACTTGGACTGTAACAGTCATACTGAATGTTCTGTTTTTGAAGAAAGTATTTATGTATGATAAAATGGGTTGGAAAAGGAGAAAACGTTGGAGAATAAGATTAAGATGGGTAAGGAGTAGGTTGCCAAAAATGAAACAGGTCAAGCATTGCACAGGCATAAACTTGTTTTGGATTGCAGGAAGCCATGGTACCAGAGAGCAATAGGAATGGGGAGCCTGTGGAAATCGATTTCCAAGTCGGTGGCCACGGAAATTCCCAGCGGAAACGAGGGCCAAGTGCCCAGATCAAGTTCCAACTCCAATAAGAACAAGCAGCAGCTAAGAAAATGCACGTCTCTCAAGGTGGCCACTTCCTTCACAAGGGTATGCCTCTGCGCGCCCATCTCTTCCTACAATAAAGTCTTCCGAGCGGAGGTTCCTCCCAGGAGGAGCAACAGTTTCCCCAGAGCGAAACCATTACAGTCTAGCGCCAGCTCCTGTCATGCCCAAGAAGGAATACTTGCCAGTGCCAGGCTCAGCACGGAGGGGAGAAGAGTTTTCAGGGGGAAATCATTGACTGATGATGTCCTCATGAGGAGGTTTGTGATTGAAGAAGAAGCCATGATGCAAATCAGGAGAAGAAATCAAATGGATGTTATTCGAAGGAGTATGGTGAGGAGACACAAGCTCGGCCCTAGTCCCCTGTGCAGAATGGTTTTGGCTGAGCCTCATTAGTCATCACAATCACCAAACCTAATTCATTTTTCTCTCATCCCCTTCATTTTAAATTTCATCTCTATGCACGCTTTTCCCTCACCCAAATTTAAGCATTTTTTTTAAACAAAAAAAGAGTTTATGATGGGGGCGCCCTTGATCAAGAACAAATCTTCCCAACTCACTCCTCCTCCTCCTCCTCGTGTTTTGCTTACAAGACACTCAAACTTGACAGTAAGACCCAGTCGATCAAGGGCAATGCTTATTTAATTTGTATTTGGAGGCCTTGTTAGGTTGTTCAATCGGCGCTAACCAGGCTCTCGTGACGCATTTGCTCTGTCACACATCCCGGCCCAATTATAGTCTTATGGATCTCTGTCGGCCATCCTGTTCACATTTTTTAAGCTAAGCGATACACGTATGATATATTCTTTCAGCTTTCTTTCTCGGAATGGTTTCAAATTCAATTGGTAGTTCTGTTTGATGTAACTCCATTAAGCTCGAATCTAAAGTTAAGTAAGTGATTAAACTGGCAGGATGATGTAAAAAGCACGCTTTCTGAATCAATATATTAATCCCTTAGTTGTTTTTCATTACACATTTACACTTGCTCCCAGTGCAACCCATTAGAATGGCATGTGGAAGTCCGATGATCAATCATTGCCCAAGCAAGTCATTTATCATTTATGAAAATCAGTCAAGAGTCATAGACGGGTAAACAATAGTGATTTGGATCGGCTATGTCATGTTTTGACGCATCAAATGAAAAATGGAGTTATGAGTAGTTGGAAGGAACCTAAAAGAACCTGGCCGTCTTTATTCATAGATATTAAAGAGGCTTTAGAATGGCGTCAGTTGAAACTTTAAATTAATAAGGAGGCGCATCTTTGTTTGTACATAACTAGAAGTTAAAAGATATAGGAATGGGAGGGGATGGAAATGAAGGAGCACCCGAATTGACGAGAAAGCATGTGATGTGGTTGAACGATAATGTTGGATCACCTACCAAAAAAACATGCTTCTGATGACAGCATTTGGAGAGGTGGAAACATTAAATTAAACGCACAAGCTACGACACGGCGGGGAAAATAACACCTCGTTCAAGGAATCTTATAAATTCCCCCGTAATTCAAATGCTCACGCCCAAGCCATGGTTTCTTGATCTCAGTCTTGAGGACTCACGTGGCAAGAGTGGGAGGTATCATCGTGCACAAGCAAGCCTAGATTCAGTACTGTTGAGCAATGTCATATTCAAATGCGGCCCAACAGTTATTTGGCCCATTAGGCCCTTTCAAACCCCATCCCCATTTCACCCATGCACGCTTCGCCAACACTCTCCTTTCCAACAAATGCTGCACGTACTGTAAACCCTCCCCCACTGCACTTTCTAGCGAGTCCCTGCCACGCTTGCTCTCGTGTTATTCAACATCTGACTTGTTCAATTCATTATGATGGATTCAAGGGTTCCATTATTATCATTACAGTAATCTTCGAAAACCAGTATGAACTAGTCTTATAGGCAAGGCAATTCTGATTGGTGAATGCGGGGTGCAAACATTGTCCACACGGACGCGCTGCTTTGGGATTTCATTCTCTCTCTCAACGAGTTCGGGACCTGCGGTCTCTGAATTTGACTCAACAGCACCGTGTACTTGTGAGACCATAATTAAAATTAATTCAGGATGACAAATTCCAAGCCAGTCTTCCGTGAGTTTTACGGGCTTTGGAAGGAGCGTGAGTGGTGGTGGAAAAGTGGAGATTTTTGTGATGCTGATCAGATTATGGGATCAGAAGTGGGTGAGCCAGCGGCAGCAACAAGAATAATAATAATAACAACAAGAAGGGCAGTGATAATAATCTAATGAATAAGGAAGAAAAAAAGATTAGGGAGGAGAGACTACCAAACCCGAGCGTCAACAACAACATAACAGTGTGCGGAGAAATAGTCTTCCCGTTGAAGCAAAGTTAGTTGAAGTTGGGAACATTGAGTGAGGAAGTGGGCAACCTCGCTTTCTCGGTGCCTCATGATGATTATGAAACCAAAAAGAAAGAAAATTATAAATGCAAACTACAAAAGGTAAAAGGTGGCAGCAGGAAAAGTAATTTCATCCGAGCAAGGGAAACCGATTCCCATATTAATATTCCCATAGTCCATCCACCCGACGACCCTCAATCATGTGGTGCTGGAAAGCAGACGCCGGCTGAAAAATTCCGCTTCCCATCCATCACCACCAGACGTTTTCTCTCTGCTCTACCTCCCGCCTTCATTTCCACGTTTTCCACTTCTCGCATTGCAACGCTTCACACCTTCCCTAAGGTATCCCCCCCCCCCGCCGGCCCTCTCTCTCTTCTTTTTCTCTCGAGGATTATTCTAATTATGTTCCTTGCAAATCTAAACTTTCCCTTCCCTCTCATCCTCGGGATCCCTCGTCTGAGCTGCTAGATTATGTTTCCTTGTCACTATTCTTGTCTTTTTTTAAACTATCAGACAACTACTCAATTCACTTCCTCTCCTGCGCTTTTATAACTCGCTGTTTCTTCTCTGCTTTGCAAAATACAAAGCTTTCTTAGATCAACTAGAATTTCCCATGTAAAACCGAAAATTCTTTCTTTTTTTTGGGCTTTTGATTTCATGATTCTACCTTTCTACCTCCTCTTAATTTCGTCTCTAATAAACCCTCTCAGCTCCTTACTGTGTATCCTCAAGAGCTAACTTTGTTAATCCCAGCTAGTATTTAATTTATGAATGTTTATTCTGGTTTCTTCTTCTTCTTCTTCTTCTTCCTTTTGCATAAAGCGGCTTATTTTCCAAGTTGAATGATGGATTTTCCATTTTGATTTCATTGTTTGCCGTTCGTGGCGATCAGCGGCCTGATATGGAGATGCTACGTCCTTGCTTGTGATCGCTTGGTGAGCTTAATTGTTTTTAGCGATTCCTAGTTTAGATCAAGCAGAACAATAATGTGGCTCTTACATGTTATAGTTGCTTGATTTTGTTTGAATCACCCAAGAGCGCGTTTGTATTCTTTCCTCGAATTATAGCCCATCTTTATTTTTTATGGTTATACATCTCTGCGTTGTTATGAAAGATTTATGTGTACTAGAAGTGTAAGTGCAAGAATTTTTTTTGTTCGGACCTGAAATGTAAGAATGGAATATTTGTTTATGGCCAAGCATATCTGATATACGAAGCTTGCTGAGAAGTCATTAATTTGGGCAGTAACTATACGCATGATATACACGAATTCATGAGGTAGGATTTTATCTTCATCATCTTTGGCAGGAAGAAACAGTAATGCCCCTGACATGGGAAAGAAGGGAAGTTGGTTTTCCGCTATCAAGAGAGTTTTCAGTCACCATTCCAAGGAAAAGGTAGTCAATGTAAGTGTTCTCCGACCTTAGTTTTACAAGAAAATGTTCAATTGCTCGTTCTTTATTTATTTGGCATCCCCCTTAAAAGGGAAAAAGCGTTGAAAGCTGGAATTGGGTGCTTCAGACATGTAACAAGTTTAGTAATTCTGGACTTAGTAGTTAGTACCATTAATGGACAGACCTATAGCAATATTGGGAAATTTTCATCATCTTTTAATCTTTTCGTGCAAGAGGATAATTAGACTTGCCATCTTTTATTCCAAATCCCATCCACCCAACCACCTGAGATACATTTTAACTGGGCAAATTTTTCATCATTCTGAACCTTGCGAATTTCTTTCATATCGGTGTTTTTATAACCGGAAAAAGGATCATATGAAATTTTGCTGACTCATCTATGAGTTTGTGTTGTGATGCAAAGGCCAAAACCAACTTCTGTAGTGTTCTAGTCTGAATACAAAACAGCCCTAAAGGTCCCAATAGGAATTAAGGACTTCAAATGATTACTGTCACAGTTTGTTCCTTTGCTACAGAGTGGAACCTTCACTATCTGACTCATGTACAACCTGATACGCTCCTTTAACCCAACTCAGTATCCTACAAACATTCTAATCAGCACAAAACTTGCAACACAAAGCATATACTCTCTCTGATCTTAATTATAGGACAAAGTTAACTAACTTCACAGTTCTTAAGGAATGGTTGTTGATATCTTTAAACTTGTAAAAAAATGTTTGACTTTCCAATTTTGCCCTTCATTAAAATTAATGACCACAATATATTGTGTCTAGGAATTACAACTTGGTGCAATTAAGGAGGGGCAGTATTGGAAAAAATTAACTACTTCACCTTTGCCCTATATTTAGAACCAATAGGGTTTGAAAACTTTGCTTTATAATTAGGATTGGAGGGAGTACATAATAGATGACATCCTAAAACAGCAACATAACTAAACCACATACAAGATAACAACAACAACAACAACAACAACAACAACAACAAAATAAAATGACAATTCTCACGCATCAGTTTGCTTGATCATTTTAATGTTACACCAATTGATGAATTAGTTTTAAGTCTCTCTGCCCTTTCTCTCAAAGCAGGAAGCAAAAGTGTGGATGAGGATACGCATGTATAATCTTCATAAGTTGCCATGTATTTGGTTGGCAGCATGAGTTTCCACTATGTCGATTAAAACATGTATTTATCTCACCAGTTTGAATAATGATGGCAGGATTCTGAAAAGAAAACCACAAAAGAAAAGAAGAAAGGTCTTGGAAAACTAAGGCATGGAGAGACAAATTCATTCATTCCCCTCTTCAGGGAGCCTAGCAGCATTGAAAAAATCTTTGGGGATTTTGAAAGAGAGCAACAATTACTAACTTTCAGGCCTCACACACCTCCTGAGCTGCCCAAAACACCGCCTTTTGTGCCTCTCAGAGCTGCTTCTCCTAGGGCTCCTTCACCAAAGACTGCTTCTCCAAGGGCTCCTTCTCCAAAGGTTGCTTCTCCGAGAGCAGCATCTCCTAGGAGGATCGTTCATCATCATAGACCAGAACCAACGCTAAGGAACCACCATGCCTCAGCAACTAAGATCCAGGCTGCATATAGAGGTTATATGGTAAGTTCTCATGCTATTAAGTACCCATACAGTTCATTCTTCAGTAACTGTAAATTCTTGAAATTATAGTAGAATAATGTAGATCATTCTTCTCCATGTAAAAGCACACCCTAGCATTTAAAGAATGGATTATAAGTGCACTTCATTTGCAAGTTTTGTGGTGAAAACTAAGGTGGCCTGTTATTTCTGGCAACCTGGGAATTTGTGGGTGTGAGTAGGCTTTGAATATTGTGTTAATTAATTTTGAGAAAATATATGGTGATATCTTAATTTGGAGCTGAAATAAATTGAGTCACAATTTTTCAAGAAAGATGCCTCATTAACAATTATAAGGAACAAGTCACATTTTTGTGGCTTGTAAATATTGGGGAATAATTTTATACTATATTTGGTCCTATTTATAAGGCCCCATCTAGAAGTTTTTTATGGTCCTATTTAGAAGTTTTTTA